CCTCCCCCCTCTTCCTCGGGGGGGGGGGGATGCGGCCGGTGGGGACCACAATGCTATCACCGGAGCGAGCGATAGGCAGCGGATTGTTTGCCCAAGGGGTAAATTTGGGAGCCTTCCCCACGGCTTGGGCTGCAATGTGTTGACCCTCAGAGATAATCTGCTCCGAGCTGGTGCCGGTTGACTTGGTGACGAGGTTATGAGGAGGCGGAGAGCTACCGAAAGGGACAAAGATCATTTCCCTGCTTTCGGCCCGCCCGTCGGGGTGCGCACCCAACACTCCATGGGGAGCAGCTTGATGGGCCCGCGTGGCTCGGCTCGGCTCGGCTTGGGTAAGCCCAGCCTGGCTTGGTTCGGCTCAGCTAAGCCCGGCTTGGCTCATCCGATGGTGGTACATCCCCTGAACTGGCGGGGCAGGAGGCTGCCGGTACCTGGCTCCTGCCCCCGGTTCCGTGGGATCATAAACCCGCCCAGTCCATTACACTTAAAATGAGTTTCCGCTCTGAACCCACGCGGGTCCCTCGTCTCTGAGAAAGCACACCGAGCCTTTGATTCAATATTGAGCCATTAAGCGATTGCTTTCCCAAGCCATTTAACAGCAGCTCTTATGGATAAATAAACAAAAAAGGCTGTAAACCAATTATAGCACGGATAGTGAAAAAGTATTTTATTAGCGGGAATTACTGATAGACATCGCTGCTGCTCAGGCTCGCCCCCCTCCCGGTGCCCTCCCTCTCCATCCCCTGGCATGCTGGGCGAGGTATGAGCCCTTCCCCCGGGGCTCGCAGTCGGTGTGCGGCCGGGGGGGATGCTCTAGGCCAGGCCAGCTCCCTTAGAGGTGGGTTGTCCACCCCAGCCCAGCACCCACGACATCTCCCCTGAGGTCTCTTGCAGACGCGGGTGTCCTTTGGTCCCGTGACTTTTTGTGCACTGACCCCACGCCAGAACCCCCAGCCCCTTCCCCAGCGAGCTGCTCCCTGGAACATTTACAGCCCCGGGTTTTCCACGGGGAACAGGCACGGACAAACAAATGCGAGGCCATAAAACCCAGAGCAAATTGATTCATCTCCAGGGAGGACCATTACTTGCTGTCTTAATGCGGTCCTCTCTCTATAACGAACGTTTCTAAATAGAGCAAACACTTCCCCCCTCCAAAGTAAATGAATTTCGTATAATTTACAGCTAATTCTCTTTCATTCTGCCTGCGTGAGCAGGCGATAAGGGCATGCTTTGCCGTGCTAACAACAAGACGGCGAGCTGCAGTGCAGGAAAAGGGCCCCACTGGGTGTCCTGGCACTGGGGACCCCAGCCAGAGGTCCACAGGGTGGGGAGCTGAGCCCAGGGATGGCAGCTGCCTGCCTCCTCCTCCTGGGATGCGGTCACTGAGATCTGGCTGAAGATCTTCCCAGGTAAAGCCTCTGAGCTCTGAGTGGGTCCCACCCCAGTGCCCACTTGGTGTGGGAAATGGGTGCTGGAGGAGGCAGGTGGGAGCGATGGGAACGGCCCCGCTCGCCCCAGCACCGGGCTCTGCAGACACCGCTGTGCTGACTCAAAAGTCCAGTCACCCCATACCCTCTCCCTAAATGACGTCCACACGCATCGCCTCGGGCAGTCGCAGCAGGGTGTGCACCTGAGATACCACAGCCAGATCTTCTCCCAAACTCCCAGAGTTTTCTGCTCCAGGGATTTCCTAAGCCACGTGGATGTTATAGTCCTCAGTTGATTCTTCCACATCTTAAGTCTCCCCTGAAACCTTACTTAAACTTTTGCCTCCCACCACCCTGTGGCAAAGTGTTCCCCAGATGAACTGCCGCTGCGTGAGGCTCTGCCACCCTTTGCTGACCTTGCCCCTGCCTGCCTTTAATCAGTCCTAATTCTCCAACTAGAAGACCCTTGAGATGGCTCCATGTAAGAAATTAAAAGGTGTGGCGTTGCCTCTTTAGCTCGGTACGTGGATCCTGCGAGGCCAGTAGCACCTGAACACTTTGAAGAGCGAGCCCAGGGACTCCTGCACACACACTGTCATCTCCCGGTGGAGAACTTACCCTGTCCTGACTCCTCAAGTCTGTGGTTTTGGCAGGTGTAGAGTGACAAGAAACTTGGCCACACTCAGTCCACAGGTAACTGTGCAAAGAAAAGGTGCTGAGACAAACTGATAAACATACATACACTTTCCCACTGATAAACATACAACAGAGTTTTAACCATTGAAAACAGAGAAAAGAAAAGTAAGGGACATGTTGCACTCTAGAACAAATTAACAACGGATTGAGCAGATTCTCCCTCACCTTAACGCCTGGCTGGGAATATGCTGCAATTCAGGTGGAGGTCCTGTACTTTACCTGCGGTAGGAAGTTTTTATGGAAGCCCCCAAAGATCTTGGGGATATTTATGGCTGCCACGTTTAGATCACCCAGCTTTTTTT